CACGATGTGCAGTCAGAAATAACAGCCTGCACACAGAGTTTAGAGCTGCCCCTTTCCCTTGGAGCATCTCTCATCTGTCCCTCCTCCCTCTTTCTGCCTGCCGAGGACAAGATGGAGACAGGCAGTATCAGCAGCAGCTAAATCCAGAGCGGGCTCTGCTGAGCTCCATTCCCTGCTCAGGGGGTTCCATGCCCAAGAGGCACCATCTCAGCAACCAGGGAGATGATCAGGAAGAGTGGAGAGTTATCATGGTTAACACTCATCAGTCGTGGACAACACTGCCTTTCTACACCCAGCCATCAGATGTACTCTTTGTGACTACACCAAAACCTCTCGGTTTTAGTGACTCCAGCAGGCTCCAAGTTGATTAATTCTCTTGTGTCCCCAGGATCTCATGCTGCTCTAGCCTGGCTTTGAGGGTAATGAGAGAAACAGTTATGCCAGTTCCCTCAGCCTACCTCAAAGGCCTGATGGTTAACCCTCTCTCCTGGGATACCTGCTCACAGAAAACATCACACTTGAAGAATGCAACTCCCAACACATTCCTACCAAGCTTTTTGCTTGAATTGTGTTTCAAAAATAAATAAACCACTCCAGAAACCTTTGCTGAGCAGCACTGAACGAGGGTAAAGCAATCAGGTATCTATTTCCCAACATACAAAGAACCTAAGCACAGGAATAACTCAGTGCTGTTCTCAAGGCACTGATGCTGCATCAGTTTACCTTCACAGGGACCTGAGCCTTCCACACTTTGCAGAGAAACATTTCCTCTGCAAACACTTGTTTTCCAACAGTTTGTGCTTCTGCTGCCAGACATTATTTTTCACCCTCAGAATTAATGATTAACAATTTAAATTATTTGACAGGGGAATAGAGGCCCTGTGCTAATTAAATTGCTTCATCATTCCCCTTTGAAAAGGAAGAGGAATTAGTATGTCTCAGTATCAGCATTCCACCAGAACAGGGCAGTTTGTGATGTTTGGCTTAAGTAAATGGACAACCATGGGCACAGCAAAAAAAAAGGCATGAAAATGTTGCACAGGAGCCATACAAATAGGGGAAGGAGGCACAAACAGCCAACTGGAGAGCTGGGAACCAAGCAAACCGACATGTCCACACTGCAGAAGAGCTACTTTCTAAACCAAATAACTTGTAATAAGAATAACAAGTCTGTTTAGCTGAGGCAAAAATAAACAGTGCCTCTATAGGGTGGGAGAAACCAGTAATAAATGACCTGCAAAGCTTGACTTCTCCATTTTAAGGAAAGCAGTTCCGAGTACCTGGGGTGTTCATCTCCACTAGCTTTCACATTCACATGCCTGTTAGTGGGCTGGAGCTCCTAGAGGCTCAGTGGTGCCTGCCTTTGTGCCAGCATTAATACCACAGAAGATTATGATAGTTCATCGACCCTTTGAAGAGATCCTTCCCATTGTTGTTGCTGTGATGATTGCCTGATAGCACTTTCTCTGCCAGATCCACTAGGAATTACACCAGCATAAATAAGATAAGCCGCTGTATGGCTGTTATTAAAATGCACCAAGAGGCTCTTGGCTCAGACAACACTCTTGCACCAATGCAAACTACATCCTCAGTGGTTTTGTTACATGTTTTGCATCCTTTTGCTTATTCAGAGAACAAATTTTCTCTCTGAAAAGCACAACAACTCACCCTAAAGTTCCAATTCTCTCCTACTGCAAATAATTTCCCTTGTCTCTGCTGGGCCAGGAGATGAACACTTCTATGGGAAGTTCAAAGGTGCTTCTGTAAGAGCTAAGGGATGTAGAAAATCCCAGAAAGCTCCCAAGGCAGCACATTCAGGTTTGTCTTAACCTGCTGTAAGAGAGCAGTAGCTGATAGCTTTTTTGGGTGCTGCCTGACCTAAGCTGCTGTAGCAAAGCTCAGTTGTCACAGCCAGAGTGAACATTTCAGGGCTGTGCTAGATGTAATCCGTTCCCTCCAAAGCATAGTGGTGGACAGCCTCCCTGCAGCATTTCCTACTCTTACTTCTGAGCTAGAGAGTAGGTACCTCTGCCTGCTGCTGGAAAGGCTTTACTATGCCCTCATCCCCTGCTTTATTGCCTTTTCTTGTTAAATCTAGGGGGGAACTAAACTGCTAGTTTAAGGAAAACATTTACTAGCTAAATAGAAACTGGAAGAAATTCTGAACTCATCATTCCTAGGTCACAGTAAAAACACACAGCAGCCAGAGCTTCCAAAACATGCACCAGGAGAGAGGAAACCACAGTCGCAGCATATTCCTAAAGGTGCTCACAGAAACTGTTCAAGGGATGGGTGTGAATATGCAGAAAGCAGTGGGGCTGCGAGAGAGTGGTCCTCTCCCAGATGCTTATAGGATCCATTTATCCAAATATGTACTTTCACATAGGAACTGAGACCATGAAATTCATTCACTTACAGCTTCAATGCAGAAACAATCAGAAAATGGCACCCAAGAAACATCAGACTCATTGGGACTGGAGGGAGCCTATTCAGCACAGCCTTTAACACTGAATTTACAGGAAGGATGAGCACCAATTTTTACTTTTAAAATGAATGCCAGGGAAATTGCAGTTTCTAATTATCTTGTTGCACTTAATGCTCATTAGATTTGTACTGCCTCCTCCCCCCCCCCCAACTTTTCCACTTCCATATACTTCCTCCAGTCTACAGTTAATAAGAAATCAGTGTATTGCACTATCTGGCATCTTGCTGCTGAAGTGGCAGGAGTCTGGTTACCAAGTCATTTGCTGCTTAATTGAAAACTTTTCTCTCAACTCATTGCCATGCAGATACTCTATTGGAATGCAGCAGTCAAGCCTAGTATTGATTGTCCTCCCACTCCCAGCATTCTTCTTCTGAGTTTGCAAATCAATTGCACCCTGTTGTTTTCCTTCTAAGAGGAAAAGAAACCCCAAACAAATACATCACCCATTCCACAGCCCCATTTGCCCCTGAAAAACAGTGGTTTGGCTTTGCACAGTTTCTTAAAGAGGAGATGGGGACAAGAAAAGAAATGGCACACTGCTACAGTAAAAGCTACATTCACACCATGTCAGATCACCTCCAAGCACGAGTGTGCACCAGCCAGGTCCTGTGTGGGAGTGGATTGTGAACATATAAAAGGTGAATGAAACCTTAGTTTTGTGCTGTCACTGGAAGTGATCTGGAATTTGTCTCCCTATCGCAGAAATTAAACCATTTTAAACAGTTAAGAGTCTAGTAATCAAAGAACCTCAATTCAGTTGCAGCTTGCAAAAGAAGCCAGACTGCAGTTGTGAGTCTGCAGGATTGAAAACCAAGGCTTGGCAAGCCATCGTTGCTAATGCTAGAGAAGAGAGTCAATGCAATACAGGTTACTACAGACTCATGATTTTCAAATTACGGTTCCCAAGTGCATTTGAATCCCGCCCGTTTCTAAAGTCCTGAGGAACTTGGTGCATTAAAATGCTCTTGTCAAGGCCTTGTATAGACAATATTTGTCTCAGCTCAAGCTTGCACTGTATGAACAGGTTTTTGAGGGCAAGGCCACATCAAGGCCAGGCACAGTAAGCACCCCCAAATTCTTCCTGTAGACCTTGTGTCAGTACTTAGCACTAATCTTCTGAAAGACAGCAGGTTTGACTACTGCAGTCTCTTAAGATAAGAGATGCAGACGTTCAAGATGACATCCTCGTGCTGCGAGAGGACTCTGTGGTGTCATCATTTGTGAGAACATGCATAGCTAAATATCTTGTGCCTGTTGCAAACATGCTTAGGCCCCTCAGCTGCACTGCCACAGTGGTTTCTCACGATTTCCACACAGCCTTTGTACTTTAAAAGGATTCAGTGGGTTTGCAGAAGTGTGAATCAATGAGCATCACTTCCTCCTGAGCAGCTTTCTCTGGCTAACGCATTTGCATTGCAACAAGGCTTGTAGACTTTAACCATGAGCAGGCACCTGAACCCACAAGTAGAGACAGCTCTTGCCCTAAGCACATTGCATGTCACTTATAGGTATATTAATTTTGCTAATCTAGGCAATTTTACACTATACTTTCAGCCTGGGAGCTGATCTGTGTTTGAGTAGCAGCCATATAACCATAACGAAAGAGCTGAATAGTGTCTATTCCCGTCTTGAAAATCAAATCTTTCTGCAAAGTTGAGAATGAGCACCTAGCACCGGAGGCCACTTATTCCTGCATGGATGGCAACAACAGAGACTTCCTAAGCCCAAATCATCACCCTGTAGATCTTGTGGAATCCCACAGAGTCCAAAGGCACATTGCCAGCCTCAGATTTTCATCTTCTGCAGATAAATTGGTAATTTCACTCTTTCTGCCACAGAGGCCATACAGGTCCCCAGAACATTTTATTTCCTTTCATCCTCAACCCAACATGAATTACGTTTCAGGGTCACACTCCAGACACCTCCTAGTCCATAGACCATGTTGCTGTATTAAGCTCAGACCCCTGCATTGCAGGTACTAACAGCAAACGCTGGAATGGCCAGCAAGAGGGAAGCAAAAACACATCTATCCCCTACAGACCCACAGGCTCTGCAGGAGCTATACAGACACATGACACTCATTTAAGCCTTGAATTCCAGATTGCTCCAATCCAACCTGCCTTTGGGAAAATTGGGCTGTCAGGATACCAGATATGCTCCTTGCTATTTGCCACGTAATTAAGCAGAACTTGCTGCCCAAGGCTAATCTCAGAGTGTATTTTACCTGTGGAGCTCAGATTTGTAATTTAGTGATGTGCCAAGGAGCTATACCTGAACTTGCAAAAGGATTTTCTCCACTCATCCTCTCTCTGCTACTCGGGTGGCAGCTGGGATTCTGCATTCAGAGGTGTTTGGTCTGGTCAAACAAATTAGCAGAGACCAGCTTCATTAGGAGTTCACATGGGTGCCCATCTTGCCTCACAGCAGGAATGAGATGAAGGGTTCTGTTTCTGGACCCCAAACCCTCCCCAGTATGGGATGTACACTAAAAATCTCTTTCTTTCTACTCACACAGCCTGGCAGCCTCTAAAGAAGCTGAAGCAGCAGCACGATCTGCCCCCAAACCCATGTCTCCTTCCGATTTCTTGGATAAGTTGATGGGGCGAACTTCAGGATATGATGCCAGGATCAGGCCAAATTTTAAAGGTATGCATAAAAACCTGCTTTGTGGCTTTGTTTCAACTTAGGACTGAAAACAGCATGCAATCTTCATGAATGCCTCCTTAGCTGTATATGGAATATGAACAATCTTAATTCATGTGAAATATATATGTTAATGAGGGATTTGGCACATGGATATCCTAGATGTCTGGTAAGGCACTTGACTTCTACTCAGAATGGAAACAACCTTGTAACAGCTTTACATGCAGGAAAATCTCCAATACAGAGATCAGGGATCCTGCCAAACCAAGCAGTGACTGGCAGGGAGCTGAACACCTCAGGTAAGAGGGAAGTTGAAGCTTTTCTCCTACAGTCACTGCTCACAGCACCTTCTAATAGTGGGCAATGCTCCCCACTTAGACTCACTGAAGCCAAAGGGAGTCCCTCAAGATGCCAGGGCAGCTCTGACCCACCACGATCCCCATAGTAAAAGGGCTATAAGTTAGCACCCACAGCTCCATTTCACACCTGAATTGCCCAGTTCACCCTACACTCACTGGCAGCCAAGCAGCATAGGAACAGACCCTAGGAGAGGCAACAGAGCCTCTTTTTACTCCCCAAAACACCTCTTCTAACAGGGTTGGGTTTAGGGACTTTTTTTGGTGGGTTTTTCCACCTGGTCTAGAGGAAGGTGTCCCTGCCCATAGGAGGGGGCTTGGAACGGCATGATCTTCAGGGTCTCTTTACAACCCACACCATTCCCTGGGGTTTTGTTGTTTTCTTTATCTGAGCTCATTTTTCCAGAACTATTCCCTTGAATCACACCCAGGTATAAAGTGGGACCTGCCCCCTCTCAGCCACTGTCCAGCCCTCTCCAATGCTCATTTCATTCACTTCTTTCCTACTACCAATTCCTTCTCCCCTGAGAGTCACAGGCAGTGCTAACACAGGACTCTTAGGACCTATTAATCCCAATAACACCTGCTACACAGCTGCAAACAACAAGCTCTATACTGGGATTTTAAACCCAAATACAGGTCTTATGTCTTAGAAATCGGCAAGGCAACAGAACACTGTTGGTTTTAACCAAAACCACAAAGAGTTAAAAAAACCTACCCTGTAAACCTGCCTACCACTAAATTATGCACACACAGAAGAAACCAAACTTTAATATTTAATGCAATGTATACATTATCTTCCTGCTGAAGCAGCTGTATTGCTTTATTTGAGATAATTTAATTTCAGTTTTATTTCAATGAACCACACCTTCCCCACAGGGCAGTTTTGCTGGCTTAGCTTCCCACACATAAATCAGGCTCCAGTTTATATAGGAGGCATAGGAGGTGTTTTACAGAGCTTGGGGTTGTAGCTTTCAAAGCGCATCATTTCAATTAACTGCAGTAACTCATAAGGGCATTTTAATGGCTTAGTTCTAAATGAAAATACCAAAAATCCACATCAGATTGATTTCTGGGGAGGAGAAGTTTAACATAAAGAGTGCAGTTTTTCCTTAAATGCTGCAAGGTCTGGCCTAGCTGTGGCTTCACATTCTGAGAACAAGGAAGAAGCATTTGGGGTTTGCTTTAGGTTGGAGGAGGAAGCCAGCAACTCTGACAGGGAGAGGGCTGAATCCAGTAGGGGTGGACAGTGGACCTCGTACCCAGGCTGTACTCAACCCCACTGCTGGTAAACTACATTGCTTCACAGCTGCACCCCACTGCAGAGCTGGCATGCTTCAGTGGTAAGCAGGGAAGTTTGTAGAACTTCACACAACAACCAAACCCTGCAGAATCCTCATTGTGTCCCCTTGGACACAGTGGGAAGGGTGCAGGGTCTCAACAAGAGGTGGCCCAAAGAGAGCCTTCTTCAGGGTGCACTGGGCCAGCCCTATCCCACGCTCAGCTTCACATCAGCACAAGATCGGGGCAAGACAGTCAAAATCCTCCATGCATGTCTGCCATGAGCACATGCAGTCATCCAGGAGCTCAGCTCAGTATTCTGGATAAACCTTTCAGAGAAGACAAGTTGGTGAAGGGAGTGATAGAAAAGGCATCATTTTATATCTGATATTTTAGCCCATACCTACATTTAAGTCTGAAGGAAGAGCTGCACAGATTGAACAGAGCTGCTGCTGAGCTGGCAAATGGCTAGCTGGGAGCTGGTTAGACAGAAGCCTGCTTGGGTTGCCTGGGACTCACACCAAGAAAATCCCAGCCATAGAGAGTATCACTGTTACATGGCTGCAATCCTACTCCTGCAGAGGACAGGCACAAAGTTTCAGAAGAGGCTAAAACAGGAGAAAAGGAAAGGGAAATGAAGAGGAACAAGCAAAGCTCCAAACGTTACTTAGTAATCAGGAAATTCCATTAATTTCCACACAGGAGGAAGTTTGCATTGATTAGAGGCACAAGCCTCTCGTTAAAGCCATTCCTACCCCTCAGTATTTTATGTTGCAGCAACCGCCAGACTGCAGATGTGGCCTTACACCTGTCAAGCATCACTCTCCCAGCCAGGCTGAGCCATCAGGCTGTTTGAAATGCCGACACCATCCCTGTTTCCAGAAAGGATGGGGGAATAATCTAAATATCCACACTTGCTGCTTCCATAGATGTTATCTTCCCAGAAGCATCTGTCACAGAGATGATATAACTCCCCCAGCATTAAAGGGGGACCTTGATTCCTGGGGGAGTCTCCTCTGCTCTCTGCTGGGCTGCCTTCCCCCACCACACACTGCACAGCACAGAGACCCCTTTTGCTTCTCCCCTCTAAGGCTCTAGAAATCTTCTCATTATATGTGGGCAAGACACTGGTTTACCAGGCACCTGACACAGCTCTGCTTCCAGAATGTTCTCCAGCTTCCTGTGCTGAGCTGCAGCTCTTGGCATCATCCTCAGTGCAAATGCAACATTTTCAGCTCAGATTCACCAGGCAATGTTGCGATCCACTTCCAGTCATAACAGTACCTGTGGCCACCAGTATCACATGAGCAGACCAACCCCCATGCCCTCAACCACAGTCTTTTAATTCCTTAATCTCCACTCCCCTCCTTTGGTAGCCCCTTAACTTTCCCCAGTACAAGGAGGCTAAGCAAAGCTTCTGTCTGAAAGAAAATAAAGCCCAGGAGAAGCATGGCCTAAAGCCTGGGAGTTCCTTCTCCCAAAACAAGACAGCCAAAGAACTTCCATTGGCAGAGCCCTGAAGCCTCCTATCCAGATGTGAGACTTAGCAGACAGCACTATTACTATATGGGGTACTTATGCCTTTACCCAGCCTGACCCCTACAACACAGGCTTCTGTACTGACTCTGAAGGGAGCTTATAGCCCTAGTTCAGGATCATTTAGATGATTTATATGAGTATTTTAAAAGTATAGAACTCTAAACAAGAGGGTCTGACGATAGCCTCTCATCTCCTTTCTGGGTTACATTGCTATCGTGTTCAAGGTGAGCTTGCCACGCATACAGCAATGCCAAGATAGCTAGAAAGCTGTCTTGGCTGGCTGTGATCTATTCCTTTTCATCAAAACAAGTCACAGAACAGATATATAAACACAGTCCCAAACAAGGGAACAGAGGTGAAACAAAAGAATTGTTTGATGTCAAATTGGCATCAGAACCAAGTAAGCTGGGTCATCCAGATCCCATTCTTGTATCTCACCCCTCAGTCACCCTGTTCCCACAATAGGTTTTAACACTACAGAGTGGAAATATTTTGTCTTCTAAGCACACAGTAAACTGTTCCAATCTGTATTTGTCATGCAGGCCCACCAGTGAATGTCAGCTGCAACATTTTCATCAACAGCTTTGGTTCAATTGCAGAAACAACTATGGTAAGTACAAATCACAGCACAGCTGCTCAGCTACTGGCTCAGCCTCATTGCACTCCCAGCTAATGCAGCATCACCCTCTTCTTTAGTGTGACCAGAGGAAAACATTGTCTCAGGGTTTCCAAGTTTATCTAAGCTTAGAATAAATTAATGGTCAACACAAAAGACTCTCATTGCATGTAGCTGAGGATCACAGTCTGTACCTGCATCCCTACAAAAACACCATATAGGCAAAGTAAAAGGGTCAGAAAAGGAAACAAAGAGTCTTTTCTGAAGGTCTGCTTAAGGCTCCAAGCTCAGACATTTGCAGACACTTTTTGTTGAAATACCCATAAATCCACAAGTATGAATCAACCCTGCGTGAAGGGAAATCAGCTGAGCTCACATTCAGTCTGCACCAGATTCCCAGAGACCACAAGAATTACTGGGTTACTTTCTTGAAGAAAGTCTTCTGTAGACAGTGATTTTTTTAAATAAAATATAAAGCCCCCCAATATTTGCAAGTTAAGGCTCACTTCAGACAAAAATCAGCGAACACGGCTAAAGGCTGTGTCTAATTGGCAAGACCTTAGGAGCAGAGGACCACTAGAACAGGAGATAATTACTCCATCTGTAAACTATTAAAGATTGGTTGTGACATAACCGGTGAATAGCAAAGGAAAATCTCTGGAGGTACAGCGCCTTACCTCTGTGCTAATGAAAGTTAATCCAGAAAGATGGTGTTCAATTACTCTTTGGCAATTCTTTTTCTAGAAAGATGTTGAATTAAGAAGGCAAGACTCCAGGTGTTTTGTGCTTTCAGGCAGGATGTTATAGGCTTTACATATAGATCACACCCCTAGGCCTGAACAAGTTATTCGTCATGCATGCCACTGTCAGAGGAGTAAACAGATACATAGCTGGGGTTGTAAGTCTTTTATGACACAAAATCCTTTGTCTGGAAATTGTTTGGGGTTGGGGATAGCTCTGTTAGAATAGTAGAAAAAAATCTGTTACTCTGTTCAAGCACAAAGAAACACATTTTCACAGTTGGATTGCAGCGCTCATAGAGGAGAAGTATATTCATTTGTATATAAAGCAAAAAAGAACAAACTAGAAACAAAATACACATCCATTCCTAATGTACTGTTTTATTGGATGTTACGTTTGGCATTACGGACAGTAAATACTCTGTTCCTGTACAAAGATGATTCAGAGTGCAGGGGAGAGAGGCAGGCCACGAGGGATCCCTGGGTAACATAGAGAGCACACTACATGTTTTTTAATATATCTGTTCTACATTGCAAGAAAGATGCATTGGAGCACTCATACAAAGGCACCATAGGAACCCTGTAAACAAGATGCTTCTTAAAATCAGCATAGAGTAGCACGAGAAAGATATGCAGTTCACCTCTAAGACATGCTGCAGGGACTTGCTATCCTCACCAGATGCCACTCATTTCATAGTCTATCTTCCATAGAAAGAATTCCCATGGGAACCCAAAAAACACCCTGTGGGCACATTGCTTTGTCTAGAAATACCCAAGCCAGCTCTGACAAGCTAGTCCAGATGTCAGGCTGACGCAGCATTGCACACAACCTAATATAATGCGCTTCTTTGGGGACAGCAATTCTGCTTGTAAACACCGACAAAAGCACGAGCAACACAAGTATTGAAACATCTAAAAACGAGATCTCAGCAAGTTAAAGCAGTCTCTGGGATTTGCTAACCTGGGATTTGCTCTGTGGAAAAGCCAGTCCCTCCCCAGTGTTTGAGGATGCATCAGGTCAAACAGGCAGCATCAGCTCCCACCAGATTCTGGGAAGGGCAGAAGGTCCTGCCATGAAGGGAGACAGACCTGACTGCTTTGAATTCAAACAAGTGATCAACTATCTGGGGGGAGTGAAGGAAGGGGGGCAGCTGGGGAGGGGGGAGGAAGCAATTCAACATTTTACCATTAAGAAAGCAGTACTCTGTGATTGACCCCTGAGACTGCTTGTAACATTCCACAGCTGCTTCACTGGCCAGAAGAGCAAGAACAACATTATGGTTTAAGCCTCAACCATTAGGCATCCTAAGCTTGGTCAGGTTCAGGTTCTGAGTACTACATCATCTTATACTTGGTTATTATTGCACTGATCCCTGCGAGAGAAGAATCTTAGGGTTTTAAGGACATCACACACACAATTAGAGAAGGCTTTAATATGTCTCTCTAGTGAGGCTGTTAGTTCCACAGAAAATACCACTTACCATTTATGTTCACACTGCCTGAATCTCACAAATCAGTGTAAATCATGCAGAGGGTTAGAGAAACTGGAGGTGAATGCTCACTTACAGCTTGAAGCATCACGAAAGGTAGAGGAAGAGACTACAGGAAAATAGAGCAAAGAGGCATTTAATGGAGCCACTTGGGCCTACAAATCTCAGAAGGGAGAATAATGAGGGCTGAGAGGAGGCATAGACATCCCAGAGTGGGGAGAAAGCTGACGTGTGCTTCATAAATGTTCAAAATGGACAAGGCAAAAAAATTGAGATCTAGAACTGCTGCAAGGATAAACAAAGTCATCCACCAAACTGAATTCCCCCAAGCAGAGCTGACTTAAAGCAAGGGAAATAAACTCCTTTAAGCATCCTGCAGAACCGGAGACCCAACATAAAAGCCTCTAGTAGTGCACATAATTGATTGGACATTTATGTTAGATTGCAGCTCATAGCTTTATCCATCAGCCTCACTTGCAATCAGCTCTAAGGACAAGAGAAGCTACAAATGGGAACACATCCTCATGAACCCAGTGTATCCTTCAAGGGGAAGGATACTACCAAACAAGTGCAGACAGCCTCCTTCCATCCTAAAGTATTACTGCAATAGTGCAAACAACAGCAAGAAATTCCAGAGGACAAACACAAGATGCATCCATCCTACCTGCTTATTTTTAGGAACACCAAGCAACCCCCAGTCATAAGTTGTTAAATTCCTTTTTGCTCTTCAAAAGCATAAACACCTTCCCCACCAAGTCTATCAGAGTATGAAACCTACAGCAAAACCACAAACGCTATTCAACATGAAACAGAAGTCATGCTCCTAGGGAAGAGGGTTTTGGTTTAAACTAAAACTGCACCAGCTTTGGTTTGTCTTCGTATCATGACACAACTAATAGCATTACTTGAGCATTTTATCTAACAGATTTCCTCCTATAACAGCAAGTTTGAAATTAATCAATGTCCTCAAACTCTCTTCTAATGGAAGCTCCAGTTTCATGGCACACTCACTAGCTTAGGCAGTTATATGGAAGCATTTGTATAGAGAAGGCGTATAGAGGAGTTTTTTTATACCATCACCTAGACTTGCTAAGAGCTGAATTCAGTGATCAACATGGCTCCTCCTATAATCTCATGTTTTAAAAAGGACCTACACACAGCAAATGAGAGTGTAAAAGGAAGAACACCACAAAACAGTCAGCACAGGCTCCCCTAGACACAGTGCACACGTGCAAATTTATTTTTGCTGCTTTCATGCCATAGTTACCCCATCCGAAAGGAGCAAACCAAATGTGACCTTCCAGCCAGCCGCAGCACAGCTACAATTGGTCTCGCAGCGTCTCCTAAGGACAGGAGGAGCTGGAGGCTACAACTGTCCAAATGTTAAATATTTTTTTCAGAGACATCTGCATGTGATATTTACAATGAGATAAACCACCCTGCAAAACAGACTGAGCAGCTCGCTCCAGCCTCACAAGCCACAGTGCAGCAAATAGCAAGTATGACCGATTGAGCATATGGGTCACACATTTAACACTGGACCCACACACCCCAAGACACGAAGATGCACAATCAGTGCAGAAAGCCTGCTACAAAGGCTAGGATTTGAGCTCAGTTTTCTGCAGTCAGTCATTCTTAAAACCAACCATCAGTCTCACAGAGATGATGAGCACATAACAATTCATGCAACACAAAACGAAAAGGTTTTTCACAACATCGCACATTCTGCTACAATTTCAATATTAGACTTGCAGTCTTTTTACTACCTATGCTCTTGTAGCTTAGTTTTGCAGTGAATGGAGAAGGAAAAAAACACAACAATAAAACCATAATTCAAATACACACAAAAAGCTGAAGACCAAGACCTCAATAGTGGATTCCTGAACTTCAAATTCAGGATGCTGGCTACAACCCATCTCCCAGCAGCCCCATCCTTGGCCCAAAGACATATACTTTCACCCTCCTTTTATAGGGAAACCTGAAAACATCCCCCTTTTGGGTTCCCAGCACAAAACTCCACATCTACTAAACATCAGGATACTACTCCCACCCCTCAACACATACATGCCTACATGCCTGCATACCTGCCTGCCTTCCTCAAGCACCAGTCTTCTTCTTCCTCCTCACCAGCAACACCTTCAACACAACTGCTATTCATGACACCTTCTCCCCTACCCAGCTGTAGCTTTAACATCAGGCTGCAAATTGGTTTCTTGGCTACAGCTGTGACAGGGTAACAAGGTCCCTTATTAACCCTTCCAAGTTAATATGCTCCTGGTGTGTGGGGGCTTTGTTTGTGGGGTTTTTGCAGCGGAAAGGGTTGGTGGGTGCTTGCTGTTTCTTTCCCCAGTCATTCTCTTGCAGCGCTCTTTTGCAAGGCAAGTAGCCTTAACAGTTTTGCTGTTCCCTTTCTAGAGAATTAACTCAATGCTAATAAAGCCCCTTGTGCTCTGCTGTCCAGGTGGGTAACAGAATCCCCACCTGAAGGAGCTCAGTCTTTACCCTGGTATTTTCCATCAGCAAGATGTAGATGAATCAAAGTGCAGCCTCTCACCAAAACTGTTCAGAGCAGAATGTGATCTGACAGAACCCCTGAGTCAGGAGCTGGGACCTATTCCTGACAGCCTCCATCCCTTCCTCACAGCGCTACCCCCAGCCTACTGCTGCTCTCACCAGCTCACACCTCATCAGCTGCCAAGACTGTGGTGTCTTGGGAAGGGAAGGTCTCAAATGATCTTCCATTTCCTCAGCTCCTTTGCGAGGTCACTAAGCAGAATTACATCTCGGCATTATCAAACTGAACTACTTTGATCACCTCAGTCACTTTCTTCCTACCCTCTGTCATTTCACCCTGGGGAGTGAAATGCCTTTGTGCCAAATTGCAAAGCTCCTGAATGCCTTCACAACACAGAGCTGCTGTTCTTCATTCCCAAGCCAGCCAGAGGAACAGGCTGCACAAGATAATCAATGCCTGGATGTGATAGGCACACAAATGAGGAACGCAAGTAATAAGGATATAGAGAAAGAGATTTTTTTTTTGCTGAGTTTGCAGCCCCAGTAAAGCCTTTTTTTTTTTATCTAGAAAGTTCACATCAGAAATTGGTCCATTTTATCCATCATTTAGGAATAACTGTTGATTTCTTGGTGAGGCCAATTAAGATCTCATACAATAGCATCCAGAAGAAATGCCATATATCTCCAGGTAGCCAACAAATGAGTGTTTGTTTGGCTCATCACTTTTCAGCTTGACTGCAATGCCTAGGCACACAGCTTTCAACACTCAGGATCCTTTAGCTGGTAACAAAATACTGTGACCCTTATCTTAGGCAATGGCACAGCCACAGACATACCCCCATGCCTTCTGCTGGCTCCTCGGGCAGTGCCATATCCACTTTGCTGTCACGTGCTTGTATTTACAATTATGTTCAAATAAGCCTGGACACAAAAAACCTGAAAGGCTGTTCAGCAACTTCAATCTTGCAGTGCAATGCAGCTGTTTGTCATAAAGGAAAAGGCATCTGGGAGAAAACAACCATTGTCAGTGACCAGGCTAGGACTGTGGAATAAACTCACTGAGAAGGAAGCTCTTCATAAGCACACATTCACATAGGTGAAATATTAATGTTGTAAAATGGCAAACCAGAGTATTGCATTCAGTCCATGTATTCTCTTTCTTTGTCCTTGCCTTTTTGTATATCACAACATAAATGCTCAGTTGTCTGTATTCCAAAGCAAAACATACCCACTGCAAACACTTGTCTGTAAAGGAAGAGCACAAAGAGTAGCATGCACCAGTTACTCACCACACTGCTGAGCATCTCCTGGTCCAGGGTAGTGCAATGTCTCACACCGTACATTCATGACATGCCCCTGGACATGAGTACAGGACGCTTGGTCTCTGGAGATGAGTTAGGAGGAGCCTTCTCACACCCATCTCCTGTGAGAAGTTAATTTTCATTTGTCCCACAAGCATGTGATTAAGATCCCTCATCATGGTGACAAAGACTATGGCAGTCGTTCTGTCTGTGGCCTCTTATGCCTGCTGTGGTAGCAACGTAAACCACACTACACCTCCCTTCTACCCTTTCCTTTCAGCAAGGTTTGGAGCTGAAGCAGTGTATTTACTCCAGCAACAAAGCTTATCTGCATCAACACAAGCTATTGCAGAGAGACTGGCTCCTTTTTCCCCTGCTTCCAACACTCAGGCTGAGAACACTTTTGGGCAGCTACCACTGAAGTTTCTTCCAAACATGAGTTTAATTTGTGTTGTACATGACATAAGTCCCCATCTGGAGCTGACCTGCTAGCATCTAGCTGAATAAACATAACAACCTTTTGCTTTCTACCTGTTAGGTCAGTAACACTGATTTCCCTTGACTGCAGTGGTGACAGGTCTTAACACAGAGAAAAGGGAGACTTGAAAGTGTACAGGTTGTTCATGGAGCTGCTGTGTGCCATGGGAGCTGGAAATTCAGGGTTGCTTTCCTTTTTCAGATGTGTGGGACTTGCCAGTCCTGCGCTAAGGCACTGGTTCCTGTCCACAGCTATTCACATTTTCTCAAGACACATTATGCAGGGTCAGCAGAGATGAATAAGTCAGAGAAATGCACTTATGAAGATGACATTTAGAATATAAGCAGAAGGAGAGAGTGTTGCAACTCTTTTTCATTTTCAGAGGTTTGCTCCTTTTAGCATCAAGTTGTTGGTCCATTTGTTGTTGTCACAGTCATTAATGTCATTAGCAGCTTCTGTGCTCCAAGGGTGCAGATGGCACTAAGTGGCCTGAAACACATTCTAGACCATGGGCTTGGCTATGGACTGCCCCATCCAAAACACGTGTCAAGACACAATCCTCTCCCAGCCTTCCAGTGGACTCCACAAGAGTCAGATCCTCTTGGATAAAAGGCTGCAGGTTCATAGTCAAAAGAGTGCCTGAGGCAGCAACATCAGAAAGACTCTCCTCTACATGCACCTTTTCAAGCCCAGAGCTTTGTGTTCTCCAGATGGAAAGAACAGACCTGATGGCAGAATCAGGCATATCCTCTGAGAAGTGCCAAATAATCTCACTGAAAGAAAGTTCCTGGTGCCTACAGCAAGTATTAGATACCAGCAGGCATGTGAAACACCCTCCATTAACTGTCTCTTAATAAAAGTCTTCAAAGTACATTACTATTAGAAAGACATCAAAGAAATTCTTCATCATGATAGCAACTATTAGTTTGGGCCAGGGCAGTGAAATTGGTTTATTATATGCTGCTCTTCAGACACAGTCTGCCTCTATACTTGGTAAATGTCAATTAATTTATTGACACGGAGCCTTTATCCCTCTCCTGATAGCTGGCACGTCCTCTTCCCATTTAATTCTGTTGGTTCACTTTCTTATGTGGAAGTCAGCAGAAAAGGGGCATGCAGCTCACCCTGGGAAGCTATTGGTCAGACAGGGAGAAAAGAATCTACCTTTAATTATCCAGGAGAGTGTCTGAGCTGGACCTCAGCAGCCAGCCTTGGCTTGGGGAGCTCTGAGGAGCTGTAAGACACATGGTTATGAGGCAGATATCATTTTGCAAAGTGCTAGGGGACCAGCTTCAATTAAAGATGGCCATCCTATAAAATCTGTAGCATTTATGGCAGCCTGACATTAGAGAGGGAATCCAGAACACTCGCTTAGGATTAGGAGAGCAGACTTCATGCACATCCCTCTCAAGTTCACGTACGCTCACCAAGGCTAGCTGCTCCCATCAGTTTGTATGAGTTACCCTTATATTAGTGGTCGCACAGGGAATATCCCTTCCATGGACTGCCTGTCTCACTGTGCCTTTTCTTTTCACAAGTCTAGAGGAAACACAGATAGACACAATAGACTCAATATGGGATGGTTCAACACTGAAAGGAAGTTGCCTTTGGTCTCCTTTTCCCCTTAATCCTCTGCAACAGTTTTCTTGCTGACACCAACAACCTCTGCAACTGAGCATCACTTCTTCAGCCCCAGGGTTCAGACTAGAGGTCTTGACACTTCACACACAGCTGACAATTACTGTGACAGGGGGATGCAAGGGTAGGCAGCTGCTCCTGCTATGAGATAGCTGTAAGCTACAAAGCTAAAAACAGCAGCTCCTTGAGAAATGGTGCCCAAAATGCTTGCCACAGCTTGAGAACATAGGCCTAAACACGGTTTGGTTTTGACAATGATTTTAGTACATGCTCCTCAGCTCTTAGCACTTCCAGCTTCCTCTGAGCACTAATAGCGTTTCTCTGCTCCCTGCTTACACTGCACAGGATTACAGGGTGAACATCTTCCTGCGACAGCAATGGAATGACCCACGGCTGGCTTACAATGAATACCCTGATGACTCCCTGGACCTGGACCCCTCTATGCTGGACTCCATCTGGAAACCCGACTTGTTCTTTGCCAATGAGAAAGGGGCCCATTTCCATGAGATTACCACAGACAACAAGCTTCTGAGGATTTCCAGAAATGGCAACGTCCTCTACAGCATCAGGTGAGGTGACTCCATGAGAAGAGCTCCACCAAGGTAGGGGAGGACAGAGCTAAACTCTCACTGTTCAAGCCTGAAATGAGAACATGGACCTTGAGCATGGCACTGGGTAAAAAAAAAATGAGGTCTTTTAAAAATAGGAAATCATACAATTAGCAGTACCATAGCAACACGGTGGGAAGGGGCCCTCTGGAGGTCTCCCATCTAACCTCATGCTGATGATTGACAACAGACCAGGTAAGCTGCAGCTTTCCCTGGCCAAATTGGAAGTACTTCACTTCCAACCCCATCCACTCTTTATTTTAAACCAGTGAAATGAAGTTCAACCTTCATGAGCCTAAAGATGGAAAGTTTAAGTCTATGTCGAAGATTCTCTTCACCTCATGTATAACATAAATTTGAGGTACACACACCCCCTCTCACACTGCAGCTCCCAGCAGCATCCATGGGGAATCGAAAACAGCATGGAGCTGTAAAAATGGAAAATAGACAGCTTAATGCTGCAATGCAGACAGCCTCCATCAAACATCAAGGTGGTTCCAGCACAAAGACCACCTCCCTGATGGCCAAAGCAGTAAGACATTGCCAGGCACATTGGCTGAATGTGGAAACCTCACATTTCTTCATTTCTAACATCAGGCAGGCAGTAAAACTGCCACCACCAGCTTGGCAATGAGCATGGCACAGGGTCCTGTTACAGGTGGGTTTGCAGGAGCACAGAGGGAGAATACTGGGTCACCCCAATGCTGGGAATCCTCTGCAAAACAGGGCAATAACTCAGCAGGGCACATGGAGCAATGTGACTGATCCTCCTTTTCAAGGCAAAAACTCGAAAACCCTTTGGTTCTTGTTTTAAAAAAAAAGAGCTTTCCCATCTCCCTCATCTCCAGATGAATATATAGGCTTCTTTTTAAGGACGTTTCCCTGTGAAAACCAAAAAGAAAGAGGGCATTCTTGGTGGAAGAGCACAATGTAAATGCAAAGTTTCTAAAAGGAAAAGCAGTCTTTCCCTTTTAAAAAATGTTTCCATCTCCAGTGCTCTGCAATTTTCTAACTCGCTTTTTGCTACTACTATTTGCAAGGCTCAGCATGTTCAGAACTGGGTTCACCCAAAATCATCCTTGAGGGTTTCACTCTTTGACCCCTTCTCAGCACACACTTGTCCAACATGTGCTCAGCACCTGAAGACCTTGTCATAGCCACAGTCACCCATTTCACATTTACAGTAAATTCTTCTCAAGGGGCTTGTCTGAAGATGTAATGGAAGGCTTCTCTCACTGATTGATCAGAGGTGGAGTCCCCTGCCAGAGATGTGATGAGACAAACAAAGTGGGCAAAGGCTGGTGGTGACTCTTCTACGCTAAGGTGTTTGTTTAAATACAGTGCAGTTGCTTAATGCAGTTGCTTAAAGAGGAAACTGGTTGGAGCAGATTGATTCTTTCTGCTGTCACATCTTCTGTCCCAACACGCCTCTAAACTCAAGCAGAGAATTGCTTCCAACATTAGGATTCAAGTTAAAGTACCTTTCCCTCCTGCTAAGTTTCTTGTAAGCCTGATGATAGAAAAATCGAGTTCCTGTTCCCCCCAGCTGATTCCCCTATTTCCACATCAAGGCAAAGAGCTGAAAAATCTCAACACTTCAAAGAACAGCATTTTCAGTATTATAAAACCAAATAGTCTAGCTATCAGAATCGAATCATTTAATATCAGGTTGTTGAACCAAACAAACACTTTGAGTACAGATTATGATACAGGGCAGCACAGCAATATACCACAGAAAATGCAGCCTGCACCTAGTGAAAATGGAGCTTGAGAGAAAAAAATTGGGGTTGCAAGACGCACAGCAGGAATTCAGGAAGATACAGAGGTTATTCAGGAAGACACAGAGGTTCTTTTGACTTACCACAGGGCATTTTCCCTGCAGAAAAGCCTTTCCCACTGAAGTCTCCCTTTTCCCCCAGAACAATGTGTGATTTTGAGCAAAATTCTCTGTCTTTTCTGACAGAGAAATGTTCTGTTCAAAGATTTTGAAACAGTCCCAGTCCCCAGAAACACACCTGGAGTGTCCAGGGAATGGGTTTAGGCTTGATGCTAATCCAGACAGTTGTGAACCTAAGGCAAGGAATGAAGACCAAAGCAGCAAACTGGTGTGGGAACTCTTTGTTCTGCACAACATTACAATGAAATGCCATCTGCAGCAGGCAACTGCTGGCACTTATATCACAGAGCCAAATGCTCAGCATTTCTGATGCTTTCCAACAGCACATGTGAAAACACAGGCAGGGAAGAGGTGAATGATCAGTCATTCCTGAAGCACACCAGTGTGTCTTGGGCAAAGTACCTGTTTGTAGCACTGGGTGTTTGAGAAGGTTCACCCCCTCATCAGTACCACAAACTGTCTTCTCTCCTCAGGATCACGTTGACTCTGGCCTGCCCCATGGACCTGAAGAACTTCCCCATGGACGTACAGACGTGCATCATGCAGTTAGAAAGCTGTGAGTGCTGAGCACATCTCCATCCCTGCCCTCTCCCTCCCCAGCTGCAACCCATTCCCAGTTCAGCCTTCACTGGAGGTTTGCTCAAGAACCACTTGCTCAGGATTTTCCATTCATTCAGCACATGTGACATTTCCTAAGGAAGCCAAACCTTAAAAGATCCCACATGAGGCACCCTGGCTTGCTGGTATTTACATTAGCCTTTCACTTTGGAGGAAAAAGGGGAAAGTGCTTTCAGCTGCAAATAGGTTTTTTTCTCTCTGGGTGAACATTTGCCCCTTGTACCTGTTGCTTATCCCAAAGGAGGGAAAGATGATGAGCAATTTCTTTCAGAGAATGAGGTCAAGTTGGAAAAAACAGCAAACAGTTCAAAAAGCCAAATCCAAGAAAAAATGTGATTTATTGCAGATGTTTCATTGCACACCATCTCAGCTCCAGTGCAAGTCATTACCCTGGCTTTTATCACATTCACAAGCAGTTTTCCCTCAACCCAAATGCTATTCATTACAGCATTGCCAAAGAAGGCCAGGGTAGGTCCCTGCCTCCAAGCATAGATCTCCTGTACAAGTCTGACCCTTTCCAGATCAGTGTTTAGTATGTGTTTCACATGGTATTTGTCTCCTCCTCTCAATAGTTGGCTACACAATGAATGATCTCATATTTGAGTGGCAAGAAAAAGGAGCCGTGCAAGTTGCTGATGGGCTGACATTGCCTCAGTTTATCCTCAAAGAAGAAAAAGACTTGAGATACTGCACAAAACACTACAACACAGGTCAGTGGTGGTTACCTTTAGCTGCTGGGCTCATCAGAATGGAACTTGGGGCTGAGTTTACCAGAGTCTCTTGCTATGTGTGATGGCACTCTTGTGATACAAGCCTTGTCCTACACAGCTACATGCATATAAATACACATAGATACATTGCCAGTGTGTATATATATATGTATATAGCAAATAAGATAACAGACACAAGTGTGTGGAACTCTCTTGTCCTCAGGAACATCTGCATCAGTTCAAGGGTGTTTGGCCTGGACCTTCTCTCCCAGCACCTTCTTTTGTCTTTGACGTAAGGGAGCAAATGAAACTGAAGTGACAAAGGACATACTGCCAAGAACTATTTGCTATGATGATGTTGTACATTGACAGTCCAGAACTGGGCAACAGCTCTTAATTTCCTCCTTTAACAAGATTCCAGTTCTAGGCAATGCAAGGAAAGTCCCCAGACAATAGTGGAAAACAGGAGGCTCACTGTGCTTTATCAGTAATATTCCATGTATCTCCCATCCTTCCCAGGCAAGTTCACCTGTATAGAAGCTCGTTTCCACCTGGAGCGGCAGATGGGCTATTACTTGATCCAGATGTACATTCCCAGCCTCCTTATTGTCATTCTGTCCTGGATTTCCTTCTGGATCAATATGGATGCTGCACCTGCTCGTGTTGGCCTGGGGATCACCACAGTGCTCACTATGACCACGCAGAGCTCTGGTTCTCGAGCATCACTGCCCAAGGTAGGGAACACATTTATCTTTGCAGAAGGGTAAAATGTCCATTACATGGGGACAGCACACAAATAAGCACACAGATCCTCCTGCTCAACCCAGGAGACATTTAGCTGCCATTGGACTATTCCAGTTTAAGGGCAAGCAGAACAAATTCCAGTCTCCTCCTGCAATTTTAGCAATGTTTCTCTGTCTAGCAATGAAACAGCCCTTAAGATCCAGCATTCACCCCAAGATCCATCACAGCTCTCAGTAGCCAAGAGATCTGTACCTTGCAAACCCCTGCAACAGCCACACATGGATATGCACTCTGCATTCTTGCTTTTTACTCACTTGACCATCACACTTTTAAAACAGAATTGAATTTCCCTGTTATGAAGCACTTCTAGTATGATCAGATTGGATTACTATTTTCCTTACAAATAAAACATCACCATGAAGACCAGGATAAATTAAAAACTAAGGAATTACTTAAGATCCCAGGAACAGTTTCAACGGCTTGACAATACGTTCATGGTAAATGAGCTAAAATTTGGTATAGAAGAGCAGCTGCCAGCCATATCATGTCTTGATCAACTCCCTCCAAAGCCCTTGGGAGTAACAAGTAAGATGGCAAGCAAAAAAGTCATTTTGGTGAAGAAGCCACCCCACCTCAGTCTCTCTCTCTGGCTCCTAGGTATCCTATGTGAAGGCCATAGACATCTGGATGGCTGTGTGCTTGCTGTTTGTGTTCTCTGCACTGCTAGAGTATGCTGCCGTCAACTTCGTGTCTCGGCAGCACAAAGAGCTGCTCAGGTTCAGAAGGAAGAGGAGGCATCATAAGGTAATACATAAAGCATGAAGGACACTGCTGAAATCTGTCCCAGCAGAACATCACTACATGGTCAATTGAACCCAGCCTCTAGCTCCCAGGAGAGTCCTTAGTATATGCTCAGGTGCTAAAGAGGGTCACACATCAGAAAGCAAGGCTACCTCAACGAATTGTGTCTCTTCTAACAGTCTGCTGACCCCAGCAGCTGGTTTTTGTTAGCCAGCCAGGTGGCCTAAGCCAAAAGGGTTGTTCTCAACTGAACACTTTTCACACAGCAATGTACTGGTCTGAGCTCCCTTTAAAAGACTCAGGGAGGGCTGGGGGGAGGTGGGCAGGGAGGTGTGAAGTATGCTTATCAGAGAGAGAGAGAGAACAGCATTCCCCAACAAGAGCCTGCATTAGCCTGGAGGTAAGTGACACCTCTTTTGTTTCTGTCATCTCTGTGTTCAAAATCATCTGCTTCTCAGACTGACTGCAAATTCCTTTCAGAAGGAAAAAGCATTAATCTCAGGCTTAGCCTTGCTCCATTCTTACTCTCCATGACTGATGCCAATCCAAGCATGCATGCCTCACATAGACGCACATCTCCTGCAGCCTGGACTCTACTAGCTTTAGGCTGGGGTACCACAGCAAAGATTTCACCTCACAGGATGCACTAGAAAGGAACATAAAGGTGACTGTGATGACAAGACCAAAGACACTTAAAAATTGTCCTTAATTAACTACTAGAATCAGGTAGGTGGTATCACATTTTCTGCACCACGCTGATGGGCTGCCCTCAAGCTGGCATGAAAAAAAACAGTAAAATTGATAAGGGAAAAAATGATGGAAATTTTTGCTGATGAGAATCTCAAGAGAGCCCCTGGGAGACTGCCAGGGTCTGCCTCAAATTTTCCTCATGGGTATTTGTCTACCCTCTATTGCAAAGAGTCCTCTATGATCCATCCCATTCCAAGACCTCCCCATTCCATGGCTTCACAGTCCCAGCCATTAAAAGTCTTTCCCAGGCTCTAACTTGTTCCACAGCAGTTCACGGTGTGTGTTTGGAAAGCAAGTCAAGGAGCAGGAGTCCCCGTTTCTTTATAGACTTGCCTCTCTCTGCTTCAGTTATCCGATCTGCAAAGCAGGAGATAACTGTTCACTTGCATCCAACCCAGTCAGGACCAGGGATGAAAAGTGTTAGACAAACGCAAGGGAAAAGAAGCAACACATGAGACCATCAGCATCCTGCCATCTCAAAACCAGCTGAGGCAGTTTTGGTTCTGAAGATGCAGCCTGCTTATTAGAGAGAAAGTAAAACCACCCGACAGAGGTGCCTCGAAGTGCTTTTATCTCTTAATCTAGACTCAGACATCCTGTCTCTGGAGCTATGCTGTTGTCTGCAGATCAGTCTGTTGATACAACAGTAAGAAGAGAAAAAACACTAATACACAGATGAGTTTAAAAGGTCTTTGCCAGAGATGCTCTGTCAAACCCAAGGCTGCTATTACAATCCCCACTCAATCTCACAGCAATATAATTGAAACGAAGCATAAACAAAAGCACTTGCAAGAGCAAAAGAAACAAGATTTGCAGACTTATCAGAAAACTGGGAGCTGGCTGCAAATATGCAAATGGATTAGTGCAGCTGCCAAAGAACCTAATTGCTCTGTCCCGATGTCCTCACTTGTCTGGGTATCTGCCTAGTTTAGGCATGATGTGCCAGGCTGAAAACAAGTGAGAAGTTGCAGTGCTCTGTGCTGATGGAGGCAGCTGGGGAGAGGACCAGCTCATGCCCACATTTATTAGGTCTGTCCAAATCAAATCCTACTAGCCATTCTTCACAGCTCAGTGTGCTCGACAATGCGCCATGGTCTGGCATTAATACAAGTGAAACCAGACAAATGTGTTTCTTAGTTTCCTCAGACTCAGATGTAAGCTGCTAGCTTATTGTCATCATTAAGAGTCTTTTTTCCTCTCTAAAAACTAAAAATCAAATCAATGAATGTTTGTTGTCAGGTTTCAATTGACCCTTTCCATTTCTGAGCCACCTCTTGCCTCCTTCCATCTGGAAGGACACAACCAGAGCAGGGAAGAATTATCCAAATGCCTGCAAAATCGTCTCAGCCAGGACTCAGAAACATGTAAGCCAGTTGGCAGATCACACAACTCACCACATTGCCACCCTCTCCCAAAAACTACAGGAAAAAGAAGGCTTGATTTTATTTGGGCTGTTTTGCTTTGCTCAGATATGCCAGCGTGCTCTCCCTTCTGCTCCTGCCCCCAGCACAGTGCCTCCATTCCATGCAGCTACCTGCTTGATATAGGGGCCATCCAGAAAAGACCCTGCAAAGGAGGGCAAAAGGGGCAGCAGGCACGTTGGGCAGGCAGGTTACGAGGAAAGGGGCCAGTAGGTCAGTGTTGACTGCCTTCTCGGCAGTTCATTAGTGCCACTGGTCTAACAATTAGCCTTGGTGATGTGTAGCCAGGAGCTTTGGGTTGCTGACCCTGCCTATGCAACTCATTGGTTGTGTTACTTTGGCCAGACTCTGTTTTCCCTGTGATTACATCCCCGTGTTCAATAAAACAGGGCTAAAATCATTCTGAGAAGCTCACAAGGCCTCCACCAAAACAGCAATATCATTTGCCATCAGACTGGAAACTAAATTAATTTTTCGCTAAAACTGGAATTAGCATAAGCAGCCACATCTTACCGTTGACTTGCTGAAGGGCACTTTGGGTCCTTACCTAAAAGATGGCTTGTGGGGAGGTATCGTGGTGCTTGAGGTGTCCCATGGCTGCAAGCAGAGGGCTGGTGGCACACTGCCTGCAGAGGTCTTTTCCTGGACAGGTCTCGGCGCCTGCACAATCCATGTAACTCTGTAGGAAGCCTCATGCTGCAGCTTCAACTATGTGAGTTACATGGAGCCCACTCCTTCTGGGCAAGCTGGTACAGCACAGGCAAAGCAAAGAAGGTGTTGACAGGAGCAGGGGTGGGGGGGAAAGGCAGAAGCAAAACAGGGGATGCAACTGGAAAAATAAAAGCAGTACCATAAACCCTTCAAGTATGTCAAAGACTGGGGTGGAAGTCAGTCCTGTTCTTCATGGGGTGCCTGAATCCCCTGATTTGCATCTGTGCATAACACAGCTGGCGCCCCTCTATAAGGCTGATCTCCCAAGAGCTGAGGTCGGGGCATGAGGGAGGCATCTTTCCCTTGCAGAGCAGGAAGTTGTCAGTGGAGAGCCTTATAGCGAGGGTGCACTGTCTATATCTCATTTTAAGTAGAGTCCCATGCTGAATCTGTTTCAGGAGGACGAAGCTGGCGAAGGCAGGTTCAACTTCACTGCCTACGGCATGGGACCAGCTTGCCTACAAGCCAAGGATGGCATCTCCGTCAAGGGTGCCAACAACAACAACACAGCCAACCCCGTTCCCCCGCCGTCCCGCTCCCCCGAGGAGATGCGGAAGCTCTTCATTCAGCGAGCCAAGAAGATTGACAAGATCTCCCGCATCGCCTTCCCCATGGCATTCCTCATCTTCAACATTTTCTACTGGATCATCTACAAGATCGTCCGCAGAGAGGATGTGCACAACCAGTGAGGGAAGGGGAGCAGCTGGGAGGGAGCGAGCAATCCTCTATATATGTGCAATAGCAATGCAGCAATGCATGAATTTAAGAATGCGGCAATATCTACTAAAACAAAAGGGGGGAGGGAGGCTGGGAGGGACTTTTAATCATGTGAACTGAGGATAACAGGCACAGGGAGGAGAAAAAAAACCAGCTCTTGGGAGTGCAGGGTGGGGGTTACTTTTGCAGCATAGGAAGGTTTGGATTGCTCCCGCTGCAATCCAAGCAGTGTAATATATTAATATATATTCATGCTTAATTATAATGCAAAGAAAAAACAATCCAAAAAAAGAGAAACAAAAAAAAAAATCCTTTTTTTAGCCTATTAACAGCTTAGATCCTCAAGTCACTGGAATGATTCATGATTCCATGTGCAGAAATGACTGCAACTATGCTTTATCTGACTTTTGCTATAGAAAGGCCATACCAGTCAAGCACGTGGGGAAAGAAAGCCCTAATGAAAGGAAAAAAAAACAGGAAAATCATTCTGTGCTTCTCTAGGTTTTGCACTTTGAAAACTGGAAACTTAAGAAAGAGGCTGTGGGTTGTTGTTTATTTTATATATTTACTTTTTTAGTCACGGGTTTGCCGATCAAACACTTTGTGACTTTTGGATAGAGGAAAGCAAATACATCACCTCTCTCATCCCCATAAGAGACCATCCAATGGGAAACCCGAGAAGGACATCAGGGCCTTCATCAGAAATTGCAGGTAGCTTCTGTCCTTTTAAATGACCTGGCAGGATTTGAGTCCCAGGAAGCAGAAATGCTATTCAGAACATAAGAAATGATGACTAGAAATGATGAAGGATTTTGAAAACAGCTCTTTCTTTCTTTATGTTTTTCCACCCCCCTTTCTGCCATGTTTGCTTACAACTGGGGGTGGAAATGATTGTATTTAAAATGTAAAGAAAACAGGCATATTCATGCCTTGTTGCAACAGGGCCGGGCAAGTGGCAATAGTGTCAGTAAAGGGGGGGGGGGAAGGTGTGTATAGAGAGAGCAGTTCTTATTTTCAGACATTTCATAGCAGTAATATTAATAGCAAAGCTGGGCCAATGGACCCAAAACTCTATTTTTGTATCTATTTTGGTGCTGCATTTAGCTTTAACACAGATAGGAAGATAGAGCAGCTGCTTTGCCCTCTCTGCTACCCAGCAGAGCCCTGGGGGGTGGCTGGCACAGTTTGGTGGGGATAGGGAATTAGGGGAGGGAGATGGGAATGGGTGAGCAAAGGGGTTGGTTACCCTTTGACCAAGTGATAGCACAGGTTGGTGTCAGATTTTGGGGTGGGGAGACACCCCAAATGCCTCCAGGGTATTATTTGGAAGCCTGGCTTGGGGCTGGCATGGGTGAGTCAAGGGCTCAATGTCCCACTTGCCTCTCCAGCACCCAGGGCGGTTCAGTCGTGTTTGCACTTTAGCAAGGGAGGTAAAAGACAGCATGAAGGAAGAGACAATCAGTCTGCACTGAAGCACTTGGGGTCAGGTCTGGATTAGGCACTAGAAGGCGGAGAGACAAGTGGTACCCAAGGGGTGCTTCCACTTTCCCATCTCCTGCTCAGCACCAGGCCACAGCTGACCTAGGCTGTAGCTTTGATGCTTGCATTGGGAACAGACAGGCTCCTGCATCCTCCACGACAGCTGGAACAGCTCAAAGTACAGGTCCAGTCTGGGCCAGGCCAGCAGGGTCCAAGCCTGGGACAGGAGGTGGGAGTTTGTGCTCAGCTACAGGTGTCCCAAGCAGCGCAGCAAAAGGCAGCTATGGGAGAGGGTAGGAGAGCACAGGGACCTGTGAGGTCTCTTAGCACAGGGTTAGTGCCAAGAGGAAAAAGCCCAGGGCTTTCCTGGGCTGGGTAGAGGGACACCCATCTCCACAGCTGCCAATTCAGCACCTTTCACCAGCACTAAATACACTTTATTTAAAGAAAAATATAATGTAAAGAAAGTAACCAAGGATAAGAAAAAAAGTTAAAAAAAAAAGGAATGAAACAGAAAAAAGTGGTGGGCATGGTGTGGACTAGGGCAAATGGCAGTATTTCCTAATGCTTTGGCAAAGGCCACCTAGTTTTGAGTCCCATTGCGCTGCTGAGACAGGGGAAGGTCATGCGATACCAGCGTGAACCAGTACATCAGCCCCTTCCCTCTCCTCAAGCAGCAGAAAACCTGAGGGCTGCTTCTTCCCCTGGCGGACAGCGCTTCCCCAAGCAGGGAGACCTCAAGCTGAGGAGCAGAGGTGTCATCTGCTGCTAGGACAACTTCCTGAGCCTTGGCTGTGGCCCAGGGCTGCTGCTGGCTCTGGTTTTGCTTGCTGAATTATTGAACTCTCCCTGTGCGCGGCAGCCGGTCGTGCCAACCGCGCGTTGTGCAACTGCTCTCAACGGCGCGTCCTTGTCTGAGATGAAATTCCCCTCCCTGCCCAGCAGCAGGGATGGGCTTGGCAGCCCATGCTCACGCAAGGCTGGCATTTGGGAGAAAGGTCCGGCTTCAATGCCCAGACATTGGAGTCAGGCGATGTGGTTGTGGTCCACACGACTTTTCGGTCTCCCAGGCCACTTGGGATAGCTCATGGGGCACAGCCAGCTGCAGGGCTGTGGGTTTGCTTCCTAACGGGAGCTGCTTTAAGGATTTGACTGTGAGTCCTTAATCCCATGCAGCATCCTCCCCCCAAGTACTTTTTGACCCTACATCCCAAGGGCAAGACCAGAGCAAGGAGAATACATTCCCAGTTCACTTAATTCTGCTCCACCTTAGAGAAGGGCGTTGAAACTAAAGAAGAAGCCTATGTTCATCCTAGATCTACTGCTTGGAGATGTAGATAAACTCATAGTTACTGCTTTACTAGAGCTCCAGCGTCACTTCTTGGCAGGGAGTAAGGCCAGAGGAAGTCAAATTTGGGACTAGAAAACATCAGAAAGATGCTTGTGGTTCTACTAGTGGAGCCCATGGGAGGTTAGGGACTGAAGTAAGAATCCTTACCACTTACCATCCTTCCTTTGCATCCACTCCAACCCTGCCCACGTTTGATGCTCACCATAGGCTGTGTTACTTTCTCTTCATTAAGCAGCCAGTTTCCATTCTGGCCGTTTTCCAGCCCCAGGGCTGCCCGCATGGTGACAGCGAGCAGCACACACATCCCAACATGAAACGTGCTGGGGTCTTGGCAAGGGTCTGGTGGTGCTGAGACTGCTGTCCCACAGATGTCCTGCCAGACAGTTCCACCACATAGGCAAGAGCTTAGACTCTCCTAGGAGCCCCTGGCAAGTCTGTGCTGTTTTCAAACATTTTTCTCCATCTGTACTAGGCTGTGTTTAGTCTCTGTATTGCAACAGAGCTTGCTTTGATAACCTATCTCATCTTCAAAGCAGGCTGCTTTAACAGTGCCAGCAATTATATTTATTAGTAAGAACATAAGGGATTTAATATTGCAGGATAGCTTCCAGGCATATTGTGATGGAATTTAATGCGGTAATTGTTAGCTTTTGTTAAGAGCAAGACTCAGAAGCAAAACTTCTGATCAAGAGACAGCAGTTGGTCTGGCAGCAAGGAGAGAAAATAGGGTCCTAATTCACTTAGATTATTTGGAAAAACAGAGCTTTATCACACATAGCATTATTTCCACGTGTTGCTGGAAATGTATCACTTCATGAGCAGGAATTATTTTTCCTTATATATAAATGAAAAAAAAAAGTAGGATAAACTTACTATTTTTGGGGTAGATGAATGTTTCCCACTAATTCTTGATTAAAGTGGCTTTCCATCTGGGATCCCAGTAGCATGGAAATCCAAGAGAGATCCTGAGGAGGGTCCAGGAGAGACCAGGATGCGCATGGTCTGCTACAGACTGCAAGGCTGAGCCTTGACCCTGGCCGAGCACCAGCTTACCTTTAAATACACTAAAGACAGGGTCATTGGCTTCACAGGCCTGGTAGGGCTCTTGTTCCTGTCCTAGAGGATGGGGACTGGGGAGCTCTGTTTCTTAAAGCATTAAACAATTCCAGACACTGAATATTCTCTTGTCCTGCAAACAGGTTTGGTCGTTGTTTTCCCCAGATTTTTCTAGAAGGTTTTTTTTCTTCTGTCTCTTCTGAAGATCTTAATTTTTAAGGCAAATTCAAGACAATTTAAATCACACTATTGGTTGTCCTTTATCTCGACTGTAATTTGATGACCTTGTTTGGTTTCCTAATACTGGTGGAAAAAAGGTTAGAAGTACTTAAAATATATATTTTTAAAAAAGAAAGGAACATATGAAAGGAGCAAAGACTTATAAATGGTGCCATATTTTTCCACAGATTTTATACAATCGTATTTTTGTACTGTACTGCCATTCCTTAATAGAACATAGTTCTTATCCCTGTGCCAAAGACTTTCAATACTCCGTTCCTTACTACAAAACCTTGCTACAGGCAGCAATGAATAAAGTAATATGGATCTCTTCTCCTTCAAAACCCAACCCTACCAGTGCAGCTGGAGGTCTGCCTGTCCACGGACACCACGCATCTCCTGTCTGGGTACCTGTGAGCAGCACGTCCTGCCCTGCTGGAGCATCCCACAGGTTCAGCTCAGCAAAAGAAGTATCTGACCCCTTCCCTGTTAGGAAGCACCTGATGCTCTCCTGTCTTGTTCCCACTAAGGGGTATCTTGTGCTGCTCCTGCTTCAATAGATTTCCATCAGAAAATCGAAATACTTGATCATTCTTCAGGGTGCTAGGATGAGCACCAAAGCAGAAGCTAATATTCATTAATTTTAGCATCTTCAAAATTACTCAAGGTCCTTTTAGGTCTTCTCATCCATTTATCTGTTCCTTAATTATTTCTTAATGGCAGTTGTTTATCTCTTACTCAAATGAATTTGCACAAGTCTCTTCCCTCATTCAAGTACACTGCATTTTTCTGCATTTGTCTCCTTTCACCATCTGAACTTTCATTTCTATGGGGCTAACGGCCTCTGCTCTGCCATCTTTGAAGGGGCTGGTAGAGACAAGCGTCTTGGGAAACACAGGGCAAAATACATAAAGGGCAGAGTAACAGAGCTCCCAGGGAAGCACTTTCATGGCAAAGCATGCATGAAGAAAACTGGGGAATGCAAGGGTGGACACGAGTTTTGTTGCCTGTGTGCA